CTCTGCTGTCCTCTGAGAAATTGTTTCTGATTTCATGTTTTCCAGATCCTCTTTTGTTGCCAGTTCAGTGGGTCCAGGTGGTTGAATATCAGAGTGTTCCATCTCATTTCCCTTTGGGGTTGCTGTAGGTGATCTGGAAGTCTGGTTTTGAGACTGATTTACATGTTTTCTCATTTTGACCCGGGCTGGGGGATGCTATTGGTGCCTGCGCAACTCACCTCCTCTGAGCTGAGAGAGGTGGGACAGCAGCTCAGAAGCCCCTTCCTCTGGGCTGGGAGTGGCAGGATGGATGGTGTCCCATAAGCCCCTTCCTCTGGGCCAAGAGTAGTGGGATTGTGGCTCAGAAACCCCTACCTCTGGGCCGGAAGCAATGTGATGGATGGCGGCCCGGAAGCCCCTTCCTCTGGGCCGGAAGCGGTGGGACAGCGGCTCAGAAAACCCTTCCTCTGGGCCAGGAGCAGTGGGATGGATGGCAGCCCAAAAGCCCTTTCCTCTGGCTGGGACTGGTGGGATGGATGGTGGCTGGGAATCCCCTTCCTCTGGACCGGGCCCAACCACCTGATCTTTTAACAAAGGGGCCAAAATATATGCAGAAGGAAAGTGGCCTTTTTAACAAACGGTTTTGGGAAAATTGGATATCCACTTGCCAAAGATTAAAGCTAGATGCATATCTTACACTTTGTACTAAATTAAAATCAAAATTGATTTAAGATCCAAATATTAAAACATTTAACCTAGTGGAAAATTAGGTAAATTCTTGAAGTTATAGGTGTAGGCAAGGAGTTTCTAAACAGAGCTCCAATTGCAAAAGAAATAACAGCAAGAGTAAACAAATGGGATTATATCAAATTAAAAAGCTTCTGCACAGCAAAGGAAACAACCAACAGAGGGAAGAGACATCTTACAGAATAAGAAAAAAATATTGCCAGCTATGCTTTGGACAGAGCACTAATATCTAGAGTATATAAATAATATATACAAATAACTCAAAAATTTAGACCCCCTCTCCCCAAATAAAAAAGACAGAATATCTGGGCAACTGAAACCAATAGACACCAATAGAAGAAATACAAATAATAAATACATGAAAAATTGTTCAACTTTCCTGGCCATTAGAGAAATGCCAATTAAAACAACACTGAGATTTCATTTTGTTTCAGAAAGAATAGTAATCACTAAGGAAACCTGTATGGAGATTTCTAAAAATAAATAAAAATAGAAATTCTTACTGTAGCCTCTACAGTGTGGAGTTGGACCTGATTTAGATGAAGAGATACTGGACAGTTAAGCAACTGCCCTAATAGAATCTCTGAAGTTTAAAACTGTGATTTATTTTTTACTTTCCCTATTTCTGTCTACATTAATCAATAATAAACTCCTGTTGTTCTTTGTTAACCTCTAATTCACTCCTTCCTCTCCTTGACAATTGCTTTAATTTAGCATTTTATCACAGACTGCAATAACCTGCAAACTACTATTCCTGAAATAAAATTCACCTCATTATGTAACCTTACTTCCCAGTTTATACTGGATTAATGGTAAAATGAGATTCAAAACACTATTTCTAACCCCTAATATAGTTTCCATCACATTGCACTATAAATTATCTGCTTATGTGGTGGTTTCTTCCACTTTTTAGTTTAATATCCCCATGACCTAGAACAGTACCTATGACTGTTACCTATAAGAGTACCTATAACAGATAGTAAACAAGTATTTATATTGAATGAATGACCAAATGCTTGTTACACGTACTATGAAAGAATTTCAGACTGTTCACAATGAAAAATACATTATTCATTAATTCATTAGGACAATTAAGATTAAAGCAAGGATGTAATTATGTAATAACCTGATTTGTTAAAAAGGTTAAATTTATAGAAAATTAATTTGATCAAAATAAGTTATTTTTATTAATTCCATTCAAATAAGTGGTACTATGTATTCATACCTCTTTTCAAAATGTTTGCTTGGTTTTCTAAGTCAAATATTTCAATCTTGACATTTTCTTTCAGCAAAAGCTCTCTTTTCTTTGTTATTTCATACTCATTATTAAAGTCAGTAATTTCCTTAATAAATTTTTCTTCCTCTTCTACCATTTTTTTCTTTGTAGTCTCCTGAAAAGACAAAAACATAGATCAAATATAGGTAGGTGTTATTTGCAGCAACATTTTTCTTTAATCATTTAAAATACACCATTTGGTGTTATTAACACAAAGTATGAAATTGTATTTCCTGGTATTACTACAAAAATACTTTACTTCTCAGTAATACTATTAAAAAACTGAAGCTATAATAACAATAAACTATCAGCAGATGAAAGATTTATCCTTAAAGTTTTGGAAGAATTATTATGATAGAAATAATAGGACTGGGGTTGTAGCTACACAGCACAGTGCCTGCCTGGCAAGCACGAGGCCCTGGGTTTGATTTCCGGTACCAAAAAAGAAAAGTGAAAAAAAAAAGAAATTTTACCACTCACCATTGCACCTGTGTTTGTGATTTGAATTTTATAACCACTTATGCCATTTTGTCATCACAATATAAAATTAAGTGATAAAATAATAACCAATCTTAAAAAATTAAAAATTACACTCAAAGAACTACTACTATGCTGGAAAAATAGAAAAATTAACAAATAAGGA